CTTGAGGTACATTGATTTGTTTTTCTCTGTGGTCTTGGCCATGAATTTGGTAACTACGCAGGTAGCGTGGGGTAAAGGGGCAACATGATTGTCAAGGGAAAGAGACGTTGAATGATGACCACGCATTTGAAGTCAGTGTGGAATGAGGATTCGATAAAGGGCTGCCGTTGGGTGTCAGGAATCATCACGCTTCTCATACACTAACCGTTTCATGTTGTACACGCAGCAAAGTAACCACTAAACTTCCAGAAGAGGGGGAGATGAGTCATATGTTCGTGGAGGTTTAGGAGCTATCTAGACTCGATCTTTCAAAGTCGGACCTTTAAAGCACATCAGTTTTCTGTCTTGAGGGCGCGTTCCGCAATGAACTTAAAGCTATACCCTCTCAAACGCTTCAGGCTAATCCGGTGAGTGAATTTAGAGGCTATCTGCATTCAAAAAGTGGAAATTTCCAAGAATTCCGGTAAGAGCTGAAGAGTTCGTCCGTCACTCGGAACAAATTAATCAGGCAAAGTTTGTTCCGAGTGACGGACGAGGCCCTAGCATGCAAGCCAAGGCTCTATACTGCCGATCTGCACCATTTTTGAAAAGTGGGCGGGGCTTCTTCAAAGTGGGCGGAGCCTCTCACAGTGGGCGGGGCTTCGTGGAGCAGTCCAAAAATGCAAAAATTTTGAAAAAATATCAAAATTCCGCAAAAAGCAAGTGGGCGTGGCCAAGGGGCGGAGCCTGAATTGCCGGAGCATGAATGCGCGGTTACGAGTATCTTCGCTGTGCAAAGAGTGGATGTGAAATTAAAAAGTTGAAAAAGTTATGAAATTTCGAAGTTCGCAACAAACCCTTTAAAGACTGGGCGGAGTCGGCCATGTGTTGAAAATCTATGTCCGCGCTGACAAGTAGGCGTGACCGTCGAGGCAGGGTTCGCAGTGGTGTCTGGCGTGATCTGGTGGGTGAACTGCCCGGTCTAAAAAGAGTGGTGAATTTGGTTTGAAAAGTGGTGAATTTGCTTTGAAAAGTGGTGAATTTGCTTTGAAAAGTGGTGAATTTAAAGTGAAAATGGTATATATTGTGTTCGCCCTTTGCGACGCCCATACGTTGTGTCGCCCTAGCAAACCTTTTGATGATTGAGCAGCAGTTTGTCTGCGCTTTCCTCTTTCGCGATAGGACTATGCCAAAAAGCTCAAGTAATCACGTCAGACAGAGATCCTGTTAATTTTTTAGGCGAACATCATCGTGCACATCATCACATGAAAGCAGCCATTTCGATGATTCCTGTGAACCTATGGTGAGTTTTCGATTCCTTAATAAAACCCTTTTCGATATTGATTTTTTTGACCAGAACTAATTATAGAGAATGCAGTCTCCTGACTCTTCTGGCCATGGCAAAGAGTTTCGCGAAAAGGCAACGAAGAGCCAACAATCTGCCTGTGGAAATGCATGCTCCCAAGAGCAAGAGGGCAAAGAAAATGTAGTGCCGAAATGGATCCCTCCCAAACTGCCATTTAGCTATGAAACAATGGTTGATGTCACTACTGAGAAACCAAGTGGAACTGTATGCACTTATGTACCGCTCAGTTTTCTTTTTCTTTTGCCACAAGACAATCGTGTTGCCGCTCTGATGGGCGTGGCCTGCGACACCGCGCACGCAAATGAGCATGTTCCTTGGTTGTAGGTGACGACAGCAGCTAAAGTAACAGGAAATCTAGTGCTCCAGTAGACAGGCTTACGCAAATTGGCCGCACCTAGTGCCGAGCGCGACTGGGCGGCAAACTACGATTGTCCTGACCGTCTCCCAGTTTTCTTCTACAGAGTCGTTACCTTGGAAGAATGTTAGTGATTCCCATTCTCCTTTCCAATTTAGTTGTCACATCTTTTTCATCACTCAGCGCTCAATCAGCATTTATAGAAAAGCCTACCCGCATGGTGCTGCATAGTAAAAATCAGAGAGGATCATGTCATATGCTTTGCCCCGATACCAGGAGTCCACAAAATACTTGTTGCAGATGATCTAATCAGGTGAGCAACACGGTTCTTCGGCACTATGTTATTTATATGAAAAAAAAGTGTTCTTCTTTAACGACCGTTGCTAGCACCTCCCCAAAGCTGCAGGAACTTACTGCACCGAACAGAGTTCAAATATGTGGAATGCTCTTGAAGGGAGTGGGCGCGATTGCTGGAGGCGAATGTTTGTTGCCAGCGTGATTGGTGACGTTGGCCACACCCCCACGAAGCGTTGGGCAGTTTGGCCGAATGCCCTCCACGGCCCTTACAATGAGGCTGCCAACAACCAACCCTTCAGCAGTCGTGTCCAGTGTTTTTAAAGACACACTGTACGGTTACTTGGCTCCTTTCTATATGTGAGACGGCGCAGGTCTGTACCACCGGAACTGTAGCGCTTCCGCAGTTTGAAAGTGCGTGACAGCAAAGCAAGAGGCTATAGCTTCATATTCTCGTCAGTCCGTCGATAGGCGTTGTGCTTGCCACAGACATGCAGTGCAGTCTCGCGCTGGTCTTTGCCACTGGTCCCACTTAGGATGCGTCCAGCAACCCCGAAACGGGACAAATTGTGAAAAGTGAACAGCCCAAGAAAAAAATTATCGCGACTCGGAAAAGATTCTTGTCAAGACCAGTTAACCACCATCAGCCAAATCAGCCCCCTCATCGGCGACAAGTACAGCGCTCTTATGAAATTCTCCCGTGATGCTGTATCTTACGAAGAGCATCCGATCATCGCATACCCTTCGCTTCATTGTCGCGCGTTTTCGAGTGGGGGCATGTAGCACAACTTTCTAACGTAGTACTGCCCACATACCACATGGGAAGAATTCACGTGATCATGTGGCGTACCTCCCTGCAAAAACTGCGATATATATGAGTGTACACATCAACGTAGCAATGAGCTTCGCGAAAAGACAGCGAAGAACCAACTGGCTACCTCTGGAAAGACATGCCTCCAAGAGCAAGACAGTAAAGATAGTGCTGTGCCAATATGGATCACTGGTGTAATGGTGACGCTACAATCACCTTTGACCATGTTCGTGCGAGAAGCAAAACAATAGGCCCAGCAATAGCAAGCAACAGGTCACAGGATCGGAATTGGACCCCAGCAATAGCTGGGGTCCAATTCCGTGACCTGTTGCTTGTTAGACGCGCAGGGAAAAACTTCATAACTCCATTCAAAGAATCTTTGTGTAAATTTGGAACACAGATTTGAGATCAGCGTTCAAAACTAAGTCTCGTAAAATATGACATCATAAATCGCCACTTCGACCTAGCGACCATCTCCAGTAAGAGT